TTTCTGATTCATCGATCAGGTACTTGGAGTTGTCACGGACTACTCATAAAACATTGGTTACAAGCTCCAGGCTAGCTCTCTACTTGCTGCATTTGCAAAGCATCTATTGAGATAGTAACTAACACATTAGAAGAGACATGAAAGGAGTCGTATGAATAAAAACACAGACACGATGAATCTTAAATGCAGAGGAAAATGTATTTTGAAATAATGTGACCTGAATTCAAAACCATATATTTACAACAAAAAAGAAAAACAAAATAACTGGTTTGGAAGAAGAAAAAAATTGAAATGTCAAATCTGCAAATAGCCGAGTTTAGTTGTATTATCCGTTTTTAATCTTGAAGTTGTTTTAATCAACTGTCTTCTTACATCTAGTCGACTTCCCTAGAACTCAGTTTGTCGCAAAGCATTGCCTCTATTTTGCCAAACATTATGCTCATTCTATTATCAATTAACAAGAGTTCTATGGGGTTCACGTGTTCTTATACCTGACGGTACAATGTGCTCTAAACACAGGGGAGACACGGGGGAGACACAAGGGAGACACAGGGGAGACACGGGGGAGACACGGGGGAGACACAGGGGAGACACGGGAGAAACACGGGAGAGACACGGGGGAGACAAGGGAGAGACACGGGAGAGACACGGGGGAGACACAGGGGAGAAACACGGTAGAGACACGGGGGAGACACAGGGGAGACACGGGAGAGACACGGGGGAGACACGGGGGAGAGACATGGGAGAAACACGGGGGAGACACGGGAGAGACACGGGGGAGACACGGGGGAGACACGGGAGAGACACGGGAGAGACACGGGAGAGACACGGGGGAGACACGGGAGAAACACGGGAGAGACACGGGGACACGGGGAGAGACACGGGGGAGACACAGGGAGACACGGGAGAGACACGGGAGAGACACGGGAGAGACACGGGGGAGACACGGGGGAGACACAGGGGAGAAACACGGGGAGACACGGGGGAGACACGGGGGAGACACGGGAGAAACACGGAGAGACACGGGAGAGACACGGGAGAGACACGGGAGAGACACGGGGGAGACACGGGAGAGACACGGGGGAGACACGGGGGAGACACGGGAGAAACACGGGAGAGACACGGGGGAGACACGGGGAGAGACACGGGAGACGAGGGAGAGACACGGGGGAGACACGGGGGAGACACGGGAGAGACACGGGGGAGACACAGGGGAGACACAGGGGAGACACGGGAGAGACACGGGGAGAGACACGGGAGAAACACGGGGGGGAGACACGGGAGAGACACGGGGGACACGGGAGACACGGGGGAGACACGGGGGAGACACGGGGGAGACACAGGGGAGACACGGGGGAGACACAGGGAAGACACGGGGGAGACACAGGGGAGACACGGGAGAGACACAGGGGAGACACGGGAGAGACACGGGGGAGACACGGGGGGGAGACACGGGGGAAAGACACGGGAGAGACACGGGAGAGACACGGGGGAGACATGGGAGAGACACGGGGGAGACACGGGGGAAACACGGGAGAGACACGGGGGAGACACGGGAGAGACACGGGGGAGACACGGGGGAGACACGGGAGAAACACGGGAGAGACACGAGGGAGACACGGGGGAGACACAGGGGAGAAACACGGGAGAGACACGGGGGAGACACAGGGGAGACACGGGAGAGACACGGGGGAGACACGGGGGAGAGACACGGGGGAGAGACACGGGAGAAACACGGGGGAGACACGGGAGAGACACGGGGGAGACACGGGAGAGACATGGGGGAGACACGGGGGAGAGACACGGGGGAGAGACACGGGGGAGAGACGCGGGAGAGACGAGGGAGAGACACGGGGGAGACACGGGGGAGACACGGGGGAGACACGGGGGAGACACGGGAGAGAGACACGGGAGAGACACGGGGGAGACACGGGAGAGACACGGGGGAGACACGGGAGAAACACGGGAGAGACACGGGGGAGACACGGGAGAGACACGGGGGAGACACGGGGGAGAAACACGGGAGAGACACGAGGGAGACACGGGGGAGACACAGGGGAGAAACACGGGAGAGACACGGGGAGACACGGGGGAGACACGGGAGAGACACGGGGAGAGACACGGGAGAAACACGGGGGAGACACGGGAGAGACACGGGAGAGACACGGGGAGACACGGGGAGAGACGCGGGAGAGACACGGGGGAGACACGGGGAGACACGGGGGAGACACGGGGGAGACACGGGGAGACACAGGGAAGACACGGGGGAGACACAGGGGAGACACGGGAGAGACACACGGGGAGACACGGGGGAGACACGGGGAGACACGGGGGGAAGGGGACACGGGGGAGACACGGGAGAGACACGGGAGAGACACGGGGAGACACGGGGGAGACACGGGGGAGACACGGGGGAGACACACGGGGAGACACGGGGGAGACACGGGAGAGACACGGGGGAGACACGGGGGAGACACGGGAGAAACACGGGAGAGACACG